AAGAAGATCCCAGGTCATCCCTACCTACAGCAGCAGGAATGGAGATGGCAATCAGAGAATGTGTGTCTTATCACTAGGTTGAGTGGATTGGATGTTGAGTGGATTTTCCTGGAGAGGAATGGTGCCAAGGTCTCCACTACTGCTGCGTGATTCTGTACAAACTCAAATGTCTCCACTTCCTTCACATAAGCGGGAAGTTCAAATAATGTTTTGCCGTACAAATCCACCTACAGTGGTTGTTGTGGCCTTTCCAAGGCAAGAGTAGGAGCAGAGCCTCCGTCAAGTATGCCAGGAACAGGAAGAAAGGTGTCAAATGACCTCGGAAAGGAAATGTCAAATGACTAAGGAAAAAAAAGCACTGATTTTTTTTTTAAATTTTATCTCAACATTGGGGAAAAAAACTGCACAGAAAGGAAAATAAAACACAGCCTGAGAGTATGCCTAACCCTAACCCTAACCCTAACCAAATCCTGGTTTTAGCTGAGATCAGTGAAGGAACTTTCAGCTATGGGCATGGAGTGAATGGCTCAGTAGTTCCCCTCTAAATGCTATTTTGGGCTACAGCCCTGCCCCCAGTATAAGGGCTGGGAGGGGGAAAACATGTCTTCCCACCAAAAGTTGCCTTTAATATGTTAGTATCAGTATTTCCACCAGTCCTAAGTTCTCATGAGGTTTTTTCAGCCCTACTCTGGTTTTGATTTCCGCTGTATCTCTGTTAGTGGCTTAAACTGTGGATATATTGCACAGTCTTTTCTGAACACTGCTGCTCTACTACCTGCTGCTGTGCTGTCAAACTCACTGGGGATAACATGTCATCTTTTCCTTTCCTAATCAGCTGGATGTCATTCAGAAAGCTGGGACAAGGAGAATTTTCCCCCCAGACACCAGCTTTCCTTGGTAGCAGACAAACCTCAAGCCTTATAATACTACTCGTACATAGCACTTATATAGCTTTACATCCTCAAAGTGCTGTACTAGCATTAAGTAATTATCTTTCTCCCTAATGGCCATTAACACTGGCCTTTCATGAACCTCCCCCAGCTCCCTGAGGTTCATATCTAATACAGCAATAAGCTGTTCAGAGGGAGTGACTGGCTGTCTTGCAAGACTATGGGCTTGGGTATGGAATGAGGCTTCAGAGCAGAGGCCAGATGCCCTGGAGTATCAGAAATATGTGGCTGTAGCCCAGGTCATGCACTTGGGAGCATCCATCAGAAAGGGGTGGAAATGAGTAGGTGATAATGTGATCTTGAAGTGGAGAGAGAAGAAGAAAACTTTGGCCGCTCAGAGGATGTGCACTGATTGCTCTATTTATTACCAGGATAGCACTGTGAACAGAAGGAGCAAAGCAGTGGGAATAGCATGTCAATGTGGGCATGGGAAGCTGATCTAGGGAGAGAAAGTTAGAGAGCTAAAAATGTCAAGCAAAGCTAGACAACCATGGCAATGGGATAAAGAGGCCAGTCTGCAGGTCTATGAAGCATTGAGATAACAGGGAGAAAGGGCAGCTTGGCAGCATCATAGGATTTTAAGAGAGGAACAGAAGAGGATTTACTTGTCTTATTTGCTTTCAAGCAAAACCCTCTTCCAGGCTGTGGAATGTCTCCAGGGACGATGTTGCAATGCCACTGTTTCAGAACATTTTACCCTTAAGGGTCTTTAGAAGATGAGCCGATGTGATGGGTGGGCTCCCCCATCCCTGGATCCCAGAGAAAAAGAGAAGATGGGGTGGGAAGATGACATAGCTGTTTTAGAGAAGTCTCAGAAGTAGCATACCCCTAAAAAACACCAGTCCTGCATGGTCACTAATTTCTGAAACCTGCCAGGCCCATCTCTGAGAAAGCAGAGGTTTGACTAAAACAAACTTTCACCTTCTCCCTGAAGACATGGTAATTATTCTTTCCAAAGCCAAGGACATGCCTTATAAACTGGCTTTGCAAAATAAAAAAAGAGCATCCTTTTTTTTCAGCCTGATTTAATAGCATCATTTTGCTTTTATGCTTCTGGCAATGGCTGGTCCTGTAAAACAGTTATGTAGCTGTGGGAATCACGTGCAAGTCTACAGTGGCAAAACACAGCTCACAACCACTACATGTTATGCAAAGGATTTCTGTCACCTTGGACACACTCAGCTTTCTGTGGCATCAGTAGCACAATCCCTCTATGCTCAACTCTAAATCATTTTGCTACATCAGCAAATAACAGGGTATGGCTGACTGCAGACCAGGAAGACTTGACTTGGCATTCACTTGCTACGCAGATTCAGAGCAGGGCCTTTCCCTGCCTTCCTGCATCTGCTTTCTCATCTGTGAAATGGGAATTTTAATCCTAATCAGTTTTCAAGGGAAGCAGTAAAGGATAGGCAAAGGTGATTTTTTAAAATGTAATAGTCAGCCTTATGTGCTAGGCTAGACATTGGAGTGGTTTTATAGTAGAGTTTAATTGATGCCTGTTCTGCTTATAGCTAGTAAATGCAAGGCTTAACATTTGCTCTCAAAAATGTGGTTCCCTCTTTGAGATGCAAAGGATACCTCTGCAAGGAACATCTTATCACTGAGCATAGTTGGGCCATGTTTTGGAATCCACATATTTCTGGGTGTTGCTTGCTTGTTTAGGGTTTTTTTTCCCAAAATTAATTTAATTATTAATTATTACCAGATTAATTTTTAGTAAAAGCTTTCTCACATGACACACATGGCCGGGAGGAATGCTTTGGCAGTCCACTGTATGAGCTATGCCAAGGTTGTGTCGTCACATCCTTGGGAACACTGTTGACTGTCTATGTCACTTTGTTGGCAGTTCTTCACCAGGATGTGTCTAGAACAGACAGAAGACCTTAACTTTATTTTGGCTTACTAGAACTGAGATGGGACTACTGGCTTCTCTGCAATGCTTTCAGGGCCAGATGGTGGTGTAAATCAGGGCCCTCCCGTTTGAGCAGTACTGCTGCAACACTGTGTAAGCTGAGGACCTGTTTCATACATTCTGAACCTGTTCAAAAGGGAGCTAACTGTGCTTACTACTTTGTGCTACCTGTAATCACAAATGATCCTGCAAGGTTCAGGATATTGCAAATGGTTTGCAATACGTAAATCATCTTGAGATTGCTGGAAAACTGAGGACTTAGCGCTACTTAAAGAAGAATAAAATAAGCATTAGCACAAAAGAGTTTTTGCCACAATCAAGTTTGATGTATGTCCTGTTCTGCTGATAATGTTTCCTCAGAGCCCTTCACAAGAAGGGAAAGCAACTTGTAAAAGCTGGGAATGCAGGAAAGAGCTGAAATTGCAGCCAGGGTTTCAAAGGAACAAACAAAGAAAAGCATATTTCCATTTCCATTACTTCAGAACATTCCTGGGAGTTCAGAGCAGCAAGCTGAGAACACACCAGCCCAGCCATCTCTAAATAGGAGGTGTAGAGCTGCAATGAGCTTTTTATCTTCAGGTATCTGCACTTAGGAAGAAAGATCTTCCTGAGACTTTTCAAACTCCTTCTCTTTTTTGAGGAGGGTCTATTTCAGAGTAAGGAAGAAGGTTGGTCTGCAGTCCTCTGACTATAACATTGCAAAACTGAGTCTAAATTCTGTCAAACCCCAGAGAAGTCTGAGCCCCTCTGTGCAGAAAGCCAGCTGAGCATCCTACCACTTTCACACCCTATTCCAACACACCTCCCTCTTGCTTCCAAACGCTGCAGTGTCTCTGTACTGACCCTTCCCCACACTAGTTCTGCTTTAATCAGTCAACGAAACCTGTGGAAAAACTGGCAGCTCACAGGAGAGCTCTTGTTTGTACAAGAAATGTTTTCATCTGAGCGAGCACAACAGTCTCATTATTTTGAATAGCCACACATATGCTGGAATCCTAGACAGCAGATACCTTCTTCCCTCACCCTTCATGGGACCAGAGAGATTTCTGCCTGTTTGATTCAGCTGCAGTGCTACAAAGTTATCAGCACTTGCTTTTTTGGTGTCTGTAATGAGACAAGCAGCCTTCCAAGCAGCACCACGAAAGCACTTTTTCTCATCTCCGCTAAAACCTTGGGCACTTTACCCTCAGCAGAAATGAGTGCCGGAGACCTGCAGCCCTGCTGCTTCCAGCACCAGCTGGTTGTAGCAATTAGCTGTTTCCCCACAGATGGATCTTCTTAGCAGAAGGACGGAACAGAGAAAAACTTGTCCTGCTCAGAGACGCTTGTTTAGGAATCTCTAGTGAATCCGCAGGTAAATCCATCTACTCTAGAACTGTTTACATGTGTCCTGCAAGCCTCCTGTACACCTGCTGGATTCATGTGCCCTAGAGAAGGGTTGAGCCTTGCCTGGGAAAGTACCCTTCCCTGGCTTGGCATACCCCATTTTTATACACCCATGGGATCTTCCATTTTCAAACTCTCCAAAGGGGCTGGATTTCCCTCCTCCGTTAAATACTGGGCATATCCCTGCCTGTTAGAGGCTGTTTTTACCAACAGACCACCTTTTTGCAGTGCGGTCCTTCAGTCATTTACATATTCAAAGCACTCTCTGAAAAGGCCTGTAGCACAGTTTTATGAGCACAAAACCTTTCATGCAATTAGGTGATGCACAGATGGCTGTGGAAGGGTTTTAGAGAACCTTTCTGAAGAGGGACAGACCTCACTCTGCATTTCTGGTGGGTGCCTTGGAGCACTGAGGCCCTGCAATGCTTTGCTGGACACTTGTTTCTTCCTGTGTGCCTGGGTTCAGCAAACTGTAGGGCTGGAGTATGTTCTTGACATTTTGCATCGGACTTCTTTACAAGGCCATTTTGGGTGGAGAAGACGTCATTTATCTTGATACCTTTCACTCCCTATCTGTCATGTTAACCAGGTGGGATTGGTGGGTAAACCCATGAGTGGTTGGGGAGGCAGCAGCCGGCCCAGCTTTTTGGAACAGCTCAGGTCCTGAGTTGGTCCACATCATGTCAGGGCTGACCCGTTCCTCAGGACTCCCACCACTCAGATTTCCATGTGCCTTTGCCCTCACCCAGGTTGGAGGACACACCATGCTGCCTATCCGCTGGATGCCTCCAGAGAGCATCATGTACAGGAAGTTCACAACAGAGAGTGACGTCTGGAGCTTCGGGGTGATCCTCTGGGAGATCTTCACGTATGGGAAGCAGCCCTGGTTCCAGCTCTCAAACACAGAGGTACAACAGTGCTGAGACAGCTGAAAACTGTACTTTTTTGCCATCTCTCCTTTCCAGGTTGTTTGCAAAGCACTTTGTATGTGAGTGGTCCCCTCTTTGGCACTCCCATGGTGATGACAGGATAAGTGTCATTATCTCCATTTAAGAGCTCAGGGAAAACTGAGGCTTGCAGGAATCAAAGGGCTCTGCAAAAGCCATATACTGGCCCATCCTCAGCCTCTCCTTTCTAAGTTGCTGACATACCTCTGTCGTATCTGATAAACTGTCAGGGTGCTGCCGGAATTGGGGATACCGAGATTACTTCTGGGATCTGAGTTACTGTCATGCCCTGAATTTCCTCTGCTTTCTCCTTTTGTGTATGAGGCTCTTACTGCAGTCTCCAGTCTGTGAGAAATCGTTTTAAGGCTAATTGTTATATTGCACATTGCACATTTGCATGGGGCTTTTTGCCATCAGGATATCTCTTACGTGGTTTGCCCCAGTTCACTGAGGGTGAAACCCAAGGAGCTGGTTTGTCCTTCTTATTTCTTTGACTAGCAAAAGTTGCAGCCCAGTAATATGGGGATGCACTGTAAAAACGTTGAGGGAAGGCTGGCTGGGATTAGCGGGGTGTCAGCGCTGAGGTTTGAGGCACATCAGCAGAAATGCGTTGGAAGATTTTTGCTCAGAATAGCAGGGGGTATTATAGAAGAGGAAAAAGATGCATTGACATAGCAGTGTGTGGAAACCTTGCACATTTTTATCCTACTGTGTATCTAATGGATTTCAGAAATTTCACCTTTTGTAATGAGAAATGTGCATTTTCTGCTTTCTGGATACAGATCCCTTAATTAAGTGAGTTGCAGAGATGGCAAATCCAAGGTGTTGCTTTAAAGCTCTAATACTTGCCCATTCGTGTGCTCAATGGGGCCTGACTGTATATCCCAAAGTAGCACACGCAAACATTTTAGAGACACAAACAATGGAATCGACAGCGACAGAAGTTATTTGTCACGCTATTTAATGAGCTGCTCTTGCATTTCCCTGTGAGAGTAAATACAAACACACACAAATGAGCACATGTAGCTCGTACATGGGTGATAGGCACGCTGGAATGTGACAGCTCCGCTGTGCCTGTGCCTTCTGCCTCAGTTTCCTCTGCAGGGCAGTAGGACTGAGAATAACCAGCCTTAATCTTGAGGGGAGGGCTGGTGAACATCTGCACAGATGTGGCTGTATTGTTTTGCTACCATCCCTGGGATAAAATGTCACCACTTCTTTCTGATTGCTGAGGGCTCCCACCCCAGACCAGAGTATCCTGGTGGGAGGAAGCCACATTAGCTCTCATCTGGCTTGTTTTTCACCATTTGTGGAGAGATGGGCAGAGCCTGTGTGGCTGCAGAGGACTGGCACCTCCACCAGCTCCTGGATGGTGTGGCATCAGAGCAAGTCTCTGTGGCAGTCCAGCTGCAGTGGCAGAGCCCCAGAGAGAGGCAGATTAATGAGCCTGTGCCGAGGTCCCAGCTGCCAGGACTGGACCATGAGCAGGCACCAGGCTGGCTGAGCATTGCTGCTGCTGGGTGCCGGCATTAGCAAGGCTGGGATGCCCACTCCCTCCTGTGCCATCTGCGTGGCCTCATATCCCCAGGACATTTTCAGCAGTTATTTTCAAGGCTGGAAGAGACCCTACCTGAGCAGAGGAACAAGGCAGGGCACAACTCAGCCAGCCCATTAACTTTGCCCTGGACAGAAAGAGCCCACCACAGGGCTCCTGTGCATGTCCAGGATGTCTGGTAAGAAAACATAACTCACCTCCTCCCACAAGTCCTCAACCAGCAGCTCTGTGGCAATGCAGGCTTCTCTGCATGCTGTGTCTTCCTCGCTTCCTTTCAGCAGGTCCTAATCTCTCCTTTCTATATTTATATGCAAACAGCAAAGAGATAAGTATCCCTTGAGCTCTGTGGAAGGACCATTACTGTTCATAAATGATAAATTCCAAACACCCCTTGCTGGGTGGCTCCCCTCAGCACACTGCTTGGGACTGGTGTTTATCTGCAGAGTGTGGCAGGTCACTTGCAGACTGCAATGCTGGGACTCATCAACCCCAGCCAAGGAGGGCAGACGGTAATAGCAGCTCTCTGACAAATCATCCCTTCCCTTTGCATGCATCCTGTAAACAAAACACAAACAAATACTTAGGGGAGTTCTTTCCAATGGTATCCTTCTAGAGAGACTTCGATGTTATCCAAGAGCTCACATTTTTCTCATTAGCAGCACTGACCTGACCCAAAATAGAGTGATAGCACTGCAAATTTTTTTTCTCCATCACAGATGCGATTTGATATGAAATTTTATTCTTTTAGTTGCTTTTCTATGTCAAAATGAGGCAAAGCTGCCCTTGGAGAAGTATATAGGAAAAGATACTCTGAATTCTTCCTTGTAAAACTCTCCTGGGCTTTGCAATGGAAAGGACTCTTGGTTTTCAGGCAAGAAAAATATAATTTCGGCTGTGCAAAGTCTTACTTTACTTTGGGGATTTTAAGACTTTTTTCCTTCTTCATTTAGCAGGAAAAACTGACATCATAAGTTAAAATTCCATTTCATTTGTATGTGAACTCCTGTTTGGAGAGCACATTGAGGTTGGTAGGTGTCAGATGGAGAAGGTTTTTGAGGTCTGAAAAAACTCCAGCTGAAGAAAAACTTTTCACTGCAAAATTATAATTAACAACACACAAACAGGTGAACATTGAGGATCTGCAGACCTCTTGGCTTCTCAGTGCTCCCATTCACTAAATGGTACCACATCAACCAAGCAGTAGCTGGGACAGGAGATGCTCCAGAAACTGCCCAACTGGTGTTCAATGTCTATTTTTTTTCTTTTTTTTAGGTAATTGAGTGCATTACCCAAGGCCGAGTTTTGGAAAGGCCTCGAGTCTGCCCCAAGGAGGTTTACGACATCATGTTGGGCTGCTGGCAGAGAGAACCTCAGCAACGGCTCAACATCAAGGAGATCTACAAGATCCTTCATGCTCTGGGCAAGGCCACACCAATCTACCTGGACATCCTTGGCTAGCAGTGGCCACTTGTTGGAAGTCCCTGCTCCTTCCTTCCATCCTTCCTTCCCTCTCCCCCTCCCAAGTCCTTTGCCCCTCAGCTCCCAAGCAAACATCTTCATATAAACTCAAGTGCCTGCTACACATACAACACTGAAAAAAAACAAAAAAAGCAAAACAAAAAGCAAACCAACAAAAATCCCAGAGAACAACAATCTGTAAGGCAGTTTGGCTTATATATATTTATAGATATCTCTCTATATATAACTTCCACACCAATACAGAAAGAAGCTGCTGTTACAGAAAATTGTAAGACTATAAAAAAAAAAAGAAACAAAAAAGGGAGAAAAAGTACTTAAAAAGATATATATAATTAAAAAAAAAAAAAAGACAGAAAGAAAGGAGAAGGTATCTTTCCCCCGAGCAATGAAGCAGTGAATTGTAACCCTGCTGTGAGTATGGTTCGGGCTGCTGGGCAGGGCTCTAGACTGGCTATGGCAGCAATGCCATCCTGGGTAGGAGCCCCAGGAAGAAAGCCTTGCCCTGGTTGTATGATATGCACTGAATGTGTGAAATCAGTCCTCCCTTTTCGTCCTTGCCTCCCTCCCTCCTTTCCAGCCCACAGGTGATGGGCGCAAAGCCAGGGCAGTGCCCCTGCGTGAACTCTCTTTTACCAACCCCTTCCATCCCTTCCTCTCAGGCCCTCCCTGTCCCTCTCTGCCTTCCTGCCTTTTTCCTCCCTCCAACATTTCAGGACAATTTTTCTAATTTGCTGATTCTTAAATGTATAGACTCAAGGCTTTCGAACACACAGTCAAAGGATTGTGACACCTACGGGTAAAACACACACCGGGAACCAGCTGCCCTCCCGCAGACTGCAAGTTTGCCTGGCCCAGCCCTCCCTCTGCCCCGTGCCAGCTGCTGCCAGTGCTGGGAGAGCAGCGAGACCAAAGCGGCTGCGCACAGGAGTCGGGTGGGGGGTCCTGGAGGCCCAGTCCTGACTCATCCCCAACCCATTCCAGGGTGTGAGACAGGAGTGCTGTTTGCCCAGTGCATCCAGTGCATCCAGCGCAGGCGATCACTTTGGGAGGAACAACCTCACTCCTCCCCACCCTTCGTGGTTGCTAGCAACCATGGAGTTGTTCCCCCTCCCTCAGCTGTCTGCACCAGGGCCAAATTGGTCCCTGGTGTGAACCTTTAGCGAGCAGAGTTGGATCCCTGCTCCCCTTTCTAAGGCTACAGGATGCAGACAGCTGGGAACATGCCTGGAACCCAGCTGGGCATGTCTATAGGGTCAGCATATCCCAGTGCTCTTCCTCCCTATCCTCTTCCCTTCCCTGTTCCTGCCCCATGCCTCAGTCCAAGCCTCAGGCACAAGCCAGCGGGGGACAGGGAGGGGGACAAGGCTTGTGAGATGGCTGGGAACCTACCAACACCTGCCTGCAGTTCCCTTGCCATTCTCCTCACGTCCCCATCCCCTGAAAGGATTGATGCATCTGCCTTTGAGCTGTTGTGAAATGCAGAGGCTGAAGAATAGCTCCACAGGCAGCCCCGGGAGGAGGGGGGAAGGAGGGGAAGGTGCCTTCAGGAGCAGACGGCTCAGCGGATGGCCACAGCGGCCAGCCTTGCATCTCAATGAGGAGAAAGGCCTGACAGGCAGCAACAGGGGGTGGTGGGGACAGCGAGGGAGAAACAGCAGCATCCTCCCTACTGCCCATCTCCCTGGAGCGGGAAACGATCCCGACCTGGGGAAACACTGAGTCAGACATTGCATCCTGCCTGTCCAGACTGGGCTGAGAATATAAAACCTTTCTGGGTCTTTTTTTCATGTGGCTAATGGAGGACAAGGGGGAACCTCAGCTTGGCAGCTGCTCTCAGGAGGCAGGGAGCGGGTGGCACAGGCATTGTCAAGGCAATTTTGAGAAGGCAATAACTGCCAGCACAAAAATAGCCTGCTTGGATGTGGCACTTTCCTGGAAGGGAATGCAGATGGGGAAAAGGAGATGGAGAAGGGATCTTGGCTCCTTCCCCATGGTTAGAGTAGTATTCATGGCCAGGATGAAAGGGGAGATAGGTGACTCTGCTTATGTCTTGCATTGGAAAAGAAGATTTTGCATCCTTTCCTCATTACCCATGTTTCCTGGCAGTCTATAACTCTCACCCATGGCTCTTGCATGACCTGACTTAATGTTTTAGACAGAGGCAGGGGGTATTGCTACAAGGAGGATTGTGGTGGTAACAGTGGCCAAGGGTTTATTCTGTGCTTGTTTAATGAGCAGTGGAAGCCTGGAGTGGGACATGATGGGAGGCAGTAACCATGTGGGAGTAAGGACATAACCTTCCTCTGCATATTAGAGAGATCTGGGCTAGTGGGACAGACTCGTGCCAGTGGAGGCTGGACAGACTGCCACTAAACAGGCACCAGCTGCTCTACAGCATGGACACCAGTGATGGCATGGTCGTGGACAAGGGTGTGGACCAGCACACGGAGTCCGCACACAGGAACAGCGTACCAAACCATGCCTCCACAGCAGGATCTCCCTCCTGTGGGAGAGGACATCCAGTTTTCCTCACCTGCCTACTTAGGTTCAACTTTGTAAGTGAAAAAGATTGGTTGAAAATTTGCCTGCCCTGCCCTGGCTCCCTTTGTGTGCAGGCTGCTTTGGCTAAAAGGAATTGATATTCTGCACAGGGGAAGAACAAGGAATGTCTGTTAATTGCCCAGCATCTCCAAAAGAAAACCCTTTCTCGGGGCTGCCTGTCTCTTACTCCAAGTGGCTTCTGGCTCTTGTGGCTCCCAGGCAGTGCGTCAGATTGTGCAAGGCCACAATTTTATCCACCCCTCTCTCTCACTGTCATGCTGTCATTTCTTTTTTGGCCAATGTCACAGGCTTTTACACTATCAAATCACCTACAGACACACTGTTCCAGGTGGATGAGATTCCCTTGTCACCATTCTGCATAGCAGCTACATCCTCCCTTCCCTCTTTCCTCCTTCCCCTGCTCCCCAGCACCATCACCTGTCCCTTCACCATCTCTCTGTACAGTCACAGCAGCAAGGTGAGCTCAGGAGCCGGGCGTGACACCGAGCCTTGGTGCTGCATGTTTAGGAATAGCTGGTCTGTGAGGGAAGTTCATGGGTCCCCAGAAGATGTGAAGTGGCTCAGATGTGAAGCCTGCCTGCTTTGCTGCTAGCCCCACCATGTGCAGTAACTGCCTTGGAAAAAGGTCCTTTTGTCAAGGTTAATTGTGAACAATTACTCAGAAGAGCTGGATAAGCTGCAGTTCTGCGGTGTGACATCTGCCCTGTTGCTGCTCTAGGCCCCTTGGCCTGTCAGTGCTGGATGGAGGTTTGTCAGGGGGAAGGAGGAGATGGTTTTGTGTTCAAAGACATGATGAAAAGTGCTGCATCCCTTTTTGGCATGACAGTTTTGGATGGGAAGAGGGAAAGCAGCTGTGCTACATTCCTAATGAACACTCTGAGACCTCATTTCCAGAAGTACCTTTCCTGGACCAGAAGTGGAGCTGCCCATCAGCATGGGTGATGCTGATCTTCTCTGTAGGAAAATGGGCTCTGGGGTGGCCCCACTGTGTGTGTGAGGGGAGGAAGAAGAGCAGAGTTTGGGGGAAACTCTCACAGAGTACCAACATCTGAGTGTTTAGAGTCAAAGAGAAATGAGTTCATGCTTCGTCTCTATTTCTAGGAGAGATACTTCCCAATGCCTTGCCTCTACTAAGAGCAGAGAGCTATTCCTGCTGCCAGAGAACCTCAACAAGTCTCACACAGCTCTGGGGCAAGCCAGGCCTAATTCCCATCACATCCAGCAGACATTCCCACCACCCAGCCTCTTCCATCTGCAGTTTTCTCAAGGGGCTTGTGACAGGGAGCTGGAAGAAACACTAGTCTGAATGCAGCTGAGAAGGGACCGTGGGGTCTTCCCTGTTACAGCTGTGCCCTGCTCCCCAAAAATTAGAATTGATTGCACCAACTCAGTCACCCAAGGGTGTCATTGCAATGATGCTTTCTTGGAGGTGAAGGTGCTATATTGGTGCATGGTACAAATGGAAATTGTGTACAAGGGCTGCAAACTGTGGGGAGTAAATGTGGCTCCAGCCCCAGGGCCTCATCAGTGACCTGTCTTGTCTTCTCCAGTGGTTACTTGTCCTTCTACTCCAGTCTGTCAGGTTGCAAGACAAAAGCTGAAATGTAGCAAAGGGAAGACATAAAATGATCAGTCAGACTGAAAGTCCATCCTGTCTCCTGAAAACTTGCCCATCTGGTCTTTTTAAATGTTCCTCAATGCACATGTTTGGGGGAGAAAAAGTCTGAGCTGCATCATTTCAGGCCTGTCCTTGGATCTGGAGGGTGTTGAATTGCAGACAGGTGACTCTGGGAACTGTGTTACACAGAAAAATGTGGAAACTCTGGAATGTCTTCAGAGAGGCTGCTTGCTTGGGAGACATCATTACCTTTGAGCTGTTTGCTTGTCCCCAGGAGTGGGTGGAATAAGGTGAGAAAATAAGCGGGGAAATAAAAGAGCCAAGAAAAGGGAAAGGCGGGTTTTAGAAGGCAAGTGAGTATCTTGGGTTGGGAAATCGAGACAGATTTGGGGAGTGTGGTGTAGAATTTTAAGTAGCACAGTGGGTACAAGCAAAACCAAATGAAAATAGCAATGTGCTGGAGCTCCAGGAAAAGTTAGCTATAACGCTGGACAAATACTGGTTTAAAAAGGAGGCAGAAACCAATAAAATCAAGGGACCATTTGTGCAGGCAGAAAACCAAATCTCTAGGGTTTTTGCTTTTCTGGTTTTGTTTGTTTGTTTGTTTGTTTGTTTTTCCCTGCAAGAAAATGCAACTAAAAGAAGGTCTGAAAAGTTATGCTTTTTCAGGGGCACAGACAGAAGTATAACACTATATGAGCTGTTTCCTTTCACGTGAAAGGCTCTTATTTCCCAGAACTCAAATGTATAGGTTTCCTTGAGTTCAGGATATGGATTGAAGAATGCAGACGTGGATCACCACAACCCCCCAAACCCAGAGGTAGCTCTAAACACTTGATCAGGTGGCATTCATGTGCCACTCTGTGTGGAGACAATATTGTGTTCAGGATGTCTTCTTAAGAATTTTTTTTAATCTTTATCATTTCCTCCCTCCTCAGGAAGTATCTACATCTTTTCCTGTTCTGGCCAGGATTCAGCTGAACTACTAAAGCCATGGCTCATACCCAATGTTTTTTACAGCTCTAGGTGTTCTCTGGTTGTAAGTCAATGATGAGGATAAGCAAGGGGAATAAATGAGATCCTGGCTGTGATATCATGCTGTGATAGCTCCTCTGACAGCTGGAAAGCTCTGAGCATCAACAGGGTTGGTTCTTTTGCTATGGGACTCACAGGCACAGGCATGTCTTGGCACATCCCAAAAGGCTTGTTCTCCATTCACATGCAGTGGCTTTCTGATGGATGTTGAGGTCATGGAGCCTTGTCACAACACTGCTGTCTCCAAATGAATACCAAAAATAGAAAAAGAGAAATTTTCCCTCTCAGCACTGCATTCCAGGAGTGCACAGACTTGCTTAGCTCTAAGGTACCTTCTCCACTTCTGCACCAATGCGACTCTTGCGTCAGTACCCATTTTATATTTAAGTAGGTGCTAAGTCCTAAAAGTTCTTTTTCCTTTCCCCCTCTCCTTGCAAGCAGGGATATTAAGTTTCAAGCCTGAGAAAATAGGTGTTTTAAAAACATCTGTTCTGGCTGGCAGTGTCATAAATGACACAGGCAGAGACGTCAGTCACTGCTCTGAGAGGAATGCAGGAGCATTCCATCTCTCCTGTGCCTCTTATTCCTTTCCAGTACACCACTGAGCCATGAAACAGCTCCCTGAGAGAAGTGATTGGACTCCTATTGCTTGAAAATTTGAAAAACTGAACTGAGGAACGAGATCAGAGACCAAAGAGAAGGAAGGACAAAGTATTCCAGCTTTCTTCAAGGGTTAAGTGAGCTGGTAGGTTGGTTTCATCTCAATGCCTTCAGTTTCTCACAGACCCAATCTGACAGCTGTTTTCAGACTAAAGGAATGACCATGAATTCCTTCTCCCTTCTGCTAGTCCCACAATTTTAGCATCTCTCCAAGGGGAGAGATGCTTCTCTAAGGAGGCACAAAAAATCTAACCGTCACTTCCTCACACTGTCAGGAGTCCTCCATAGGAACTGATCTACCACCCAGCACAAGCGACTGATCCCACAGCTGAAAACTGGAACAGTTGTTCTGAGGAAGAGTTTAACTGCTGAACTACTGGCTTCTTAGGACAAGGTCCCAGCAGGGAAGGACTGAAATACCTCTAAAGAAAATCATAGCTCTGCGAGGTCCAAATGTCTTGCACGTTTTCTCTCGCTCTCTGCTGGCTTCCAGCTCCTCAGTCTTTGCTGCTTGATACTCAGATAGCTGAGTTTCTTCATTCACTCCCTTTACAGAGCACAGAGAGCTGGTGGAGGTGTTTGATTTTGATGTGGTAGGTGAGATAAGATTTCTCCCCCCATGCCCTCTTCTTTTTCTCCCTGCACAGCTCCTGTCCTTGCAGTTCTCAGGACTTGACTAGGAGAGTTTTTAAATGAAGTGAAAGTCTTAATGTGAGGTGAATCCCAAGACCACAAACAGTTTGGACTTCAAACAGTGAGAAAATTGGCGCCGGATGATTCCGCACACAAAGCAGAAAACTTTCATTTCCTGCAGGCAGGATGGAATTGACTGTTATATTAAGACTTCAGAAGGAGCACTGCCCTGGAGTAATTTCACTGCTGTCAGGCAGTGTTGACATCTAGATTAACCTCTGTGCAGTGAATTTTACAGCAAAGCTCATTGTAATGCATGTGGGGTATCTCCTGTAAATCCCAGCTGAAGCCCACAGTGTCCCACCCTTCTGCACAGGAGGAAGGGTCGGGGAGCAGCCACTATCATTTTTGACCCCAGCAAAGCATGGCTCTAACCTCATCCAGGCCAGTTCTGCTGAAACTGATTTTCTACCATGCTAAAGTGACAGTAGCTCCAGCCTACATTTTTGTTTTTTTAATTCCCCAAAGAGGTTTACATCACAAGGCTAAAATTTTTGCTAGTGACAAACAGCTCCCTTCAGGTATCCACCCAGCAACACAGTCCTAATTAAAAGGCACTAGCTAACCGGTGGCAATTAGCTGCTTGCACTGATTAACACCAAGACATATAATCCCCACACACAATGCTCTGATCAGATGTGATCTAGGACTAAATGGCAGACAAACTCCCAGCTGATGTGAGATAGTGGCATCCAATCCTATCCACCCGCCCACAGGCCACTATCAACACTGTTTATCAAACCAAAACTTCATGAATTAAAGAAGTTCACACAGTTAACTCAATGCAAGTCAGAGGACACTGAAAAAGAAGTCCCTTTGCACTTGAACTGAATGCTCCTGTTGACAAGTTGGAAGCATAGACCAGACCTCAAGTCCTTTTGTCTTTTATGTAGGAGTAGGGGGAGCAGTGAAATGTCCCAGGCAGGAGCACAACAGCTTCTTCACATTTATGTGAGTAGAGAAGATCCTCTCTGTGGTTATTAAGATGCATCTCTGAGATACACTTTGTGAAAAAATCACTAGCATCTAAAACAAAAAAAATTGAATCAGAAGGGTAGGTTTCTTTCTTTGTGTGTTTTTGTCACACCTTCTTATTCTCACACTTATTTTCATACTGTCATTGCTCTGCAGGCATCTGTAGGCGGTTCTAGACAAGAGACAGGCTATCAGGTATCGAACAGATCCACCGCTAACCCTAAGGGCAAAATCTCAACAGGACTTCTAGAAACCTCTTTCAGAGCCCACCCATCCTCTCACCCACAGCTTAGGTAGGCTTAGGACTGCCTAGAGGGGACATGGCTGTAGTTTCGTTTCGTCTTCAGAAGGAGTTGTGGCATTTCTGCAATCTGACCCAACAGGAAGATTCCTTCAAACTAACATTTATTACCCCCAATCATAATACAGCTGAAAAGGCTATCCAAGGTTATAGAAAAGGTCAAGCACTTACTTTGGACTGGAATTTGCTTTGGAAGAAATTTGATGGACCAATTTAACCACCACAGCACATCAAAACCTGGTGGCTTCATTTAAAAAGTAATCAGTATTGTATTTCACTTTAGACATCCGTGCATTAGTGTTCTGCAAATATGATTTCCTCTTTGTTTGCATTATTGATGCCATAAAATGTCAGACACATTAAAGAAAAAAAAAAAGAGGCCAACCTTTGGGGTTTGGAATGATTCTGGCTGAATTGCAGTTGGGTTACTTTTCTTTTTATTTCCCATGATAGCGATGCACTGTTACTCATTCTGCTATTGCTTTACAAAGAGTTCTCTGTAAGCGTATTTATTCAGCCAACCATATTTCAGGAAACACATAACCTTGATATTTTTTACTGTGTGTGGCAGTGCTGTGTGTATGTGTGTTGGGGAGAAGGGAGGTGGAGCTTTTTACAAGAGCCCTCCCATGTCTGGTAGTGTGTTGGCTTTGTGTAATGCCGAGTGCCTCCCTCCTGCTCAGGTGACTGGTTTGATTTAACCTCAAGAACTGACTTTTGTTACCAGAATTTGAGGTCTTCTGGTTTTGCACTGCCCAGAATCTGTCATCTGCTTTCACCATTCAGCAGCCATCTGCTATCCACAGAGGTTCCTAGATGTCTGTGCCACAGAGATTACACAGCACTCGAGTCTCAGGCATGTGATAGAGGAGTTTTAGCACATTCTGATCCTGGACCAACAGCAAGTTTGCTGATTTAGCTTGGTTCCCTCCCAAGGTCTGACTACAGTTCCCAAGACAAATAATATTAGCTGCTCAGTGCTTTTTCTCACAGACCATTAAGAGCACAGGCCTTGGTGGCTGTACGCTCTCTGCCTCACCTCTCTATAATGAATGCAGATTCATTTTTCAATGTTCCTGTGAGCTTTTTGGGAGAATATCCTTCCTCTTAAAATCTAAGAAAATTCTCAAGCATTTTGTCTTCTTGAAAGTAAAAGTGAAAAAATAAGGTGGAAATATCTCCCTGGATATATATTTCTGGTGGAATATTTTCATCAGTGGTAAAATTTCTTTTCAGCTTTTCCTTCCAGTGACATCAAGACTTGGGTGCAGAGGAAGGAGAATACAGTGGACCAGTCTAAGGAAGGGATTCAACTAGGACCTAGACTGCAAATTCATCTGTTCACATAGTAGGCCCTTGACAGCTTCATAGAGAAAGAAATCCCCAGCTTTTTGTGAGCAGATTCCTGCCCAGCTGTCCTATTCCTACTCCAGTTCTGAACAATGACTTTGAGATGGCCTTCAGATCTCTTTATCTTCACAAATCCCTCTCAGAACTATCCAAACAGCCCAAAGAAGTGATGACAGGGGCTGAATGGGTGTGTAATTTGGTGTCTTTCTCTCACTTTTTCACCAGGGGCAAAGATAGTGAAAGTAACAGAACAGAAAAATTATTTTTCCCAACAGGAGAGATCCATTTTCTTTTTAAACTCTGATATTTAAGATGCCGTACAGCAGTACCTATAAATATGCCTTGAATTGTTGAATGAGCACAAGGAGTATATTTGATTTTGTTTTTATGTCTATAATTTCTCTCACCAAGAATTCAGCTGTTACTCAGCTCCCAGCAGGTTGTTCTGATTGCTGGAGAGATGTTTGGGATTGATTCTGGCTGTGACCTGTTCGAGTCCAACCTCATTCTTATGTAGCTAGATTGAAACAACAGAAATCAGCAAGAGACTGAATTGTTCCTGTGTAACTAAACCTTCTTGTGCAACACCAAGCTAAACCTTGAAGGCATTGAACAACCACAACTTTGAGATCACTAAAGGCTCTAGATGCTGAGAGGCACTGAAGGTCACTACGATGTTGGGAATAGAATGGTAGGAGAGAGAAAGAGAAATGCTACAAGGAAAAATCAACAAACATTACATCAGAAAAGACAGTGGTTGGTTCATAAAACAAGAAAATCCACTGCTGGAATCAGAATATTTACCCTGGCAACCAAGAACATTGGCCATCAGGACAAGAGCAGCTCTGTATCCTACAAACTTCCTCTCACTTTTAATTTCCTTTTTCTCCTTCTGCTAATACAGAACAAATCCTGGCTTATGGCCTTCCTGAAAAGTGAAATTAAGAGGCAGATTTGGGAGAGGAAGAGAGAGATCCTGCTGGATGATCAACAGCTTTCAGTAGCAAGTGCCTGGTGTGTCCTTTCTTTCTTTTTTCTTTTTCTTTCTTTTTTTTTTTTTAATACAAAGACTATTTGGTAATAATAGTTTTCACATTAAGACTTAAACAATAATAATAATAAAAATTCCCTTCCTAAGATTAATAATAAAAAAATCTCTCGGTAAAACGGAGATTTTAGCAGACGGGCAGACGTCGTATCCGCGTCCCTGCGGATCAGCACCGCGGACAGCGGCACCTCCCGCGCCTCTCCCGGCCCGGCGTTTCGGACATCGCTGGAGGAGGAATTCTGCTTTAGAAGAAGGAACTCTACTTTCGAAGAAAGAATTCAACTTTTGAAGGAATCATGCCCACACTGGTCAGGGCACTGCTGTCTCACCCTTCGTTCTTTTATCCCATTCTTTTTTCTAGTGCGAAATCATTATCTGGTATCTTGTTTTCAAGTGTTGGAGGAAGGATAGTTTAAAACCCAAAACAATAACTCCAATTCCAGAGAGAGGACCATTTTTCCTTCAGAATTAAATTCACTGCCCAACTTCTTCCTGGACTAGTGTTCTACTTATGCAGACTCCATCTCTAATTTGGATCGTTCCTGTCTTCTCATCCATTGGGACAGTTTGACAAATGGAGAGCTACTATACTGATAGCCCTTCAGAAACAGAGTATTTATGTTATTGGAAGCATCATGTGATTCAGTTTTGGCCATCAATTACATTTAGGGTAAATGCTGGTAAAGGGTAAACAGAAAAATTTCTTGAAAAATTGCAAGTTAGGGACATATAAAGGACACTCAGGCCCCTAAAAGTTATTTTCACATCAAGCCACAGAAAAAGCCACATTACTGTGTAGTGGAGAGTTGTCAGAATCATAGAATCATAGAATGGTTTGGGCTGGAAGGGACCTTAAAGATCACCTCGTTCTGCCCCCCTTGCCATGGGCAGGGACATGTTCTACCTGACCAGATTGCTCCAACTTGGCCTTGAAGAGTCAGACAAAGATGAAGAGCCATGCAGGAAAGAGCAGGCATCAAAAGACAAGTCTCCAAATGGAGAAGCAGTTATATGTCACATAGCAAAAATGGCAGGCATTTTGGTATTCAGCTTGTTCCACCTGCATACTTGTCATTTCATCCCACATTTTCCCGAATGATATTAAGGAAGATATATCCTCAAATTAAGGTTGGACATCTCCTGAACCTGTTCATCGTGGTGAGAATTTGTTGGGCAGGAGCATGCAGGCTCATTACATCCCTGAAAAATTTAGTATGAGGAAGAACAACCAGAAAAGTGAGCCAGAAAGTTGGGCTATTCCCCCCACTCAACATATGCTGCTTTCTAGAAGCAGTTTCCTCTGTATCCCACCTCCCACATGCTCCCCAGCTGTGACTGGCAGTTTCTACAATGGGACATGTGGATGGACACTCGGAGACAGTGAGGACTGGGAAGTGCCTAAGACACAAGGCCTCAAAACTTGTAAGTAACAATACCAAAAATAAGGAATTAATGCCGGACTTCTGATGCTTAGGGCCATCTGGAAGTCAGAAAGGATGAGCTTGCAGGGGGTGGCAAAGATTATTTAATGAGGGAATTAGAGAACAAATGGTGCTAAGAGGAGGGAGGAAAGAAGCCCAATGGGACACAGGGAAAGGAAGGAAATGGACAAGGACTTGATTCCCAGTGAAGGATCAGTGATCATGGGGGTACTGAAAGTCAGATGTGAACTGTGGTTAAGCAGAGGACAGCCCTGGTTGGGGAAGAACTATGTTTGTGAGGAAGGAGTCACTACAAAATGAAGTGTGCTCATCTAAATGAGTCCTGAAAGTTCCTCCAAACCCTCAGCCCTGCTGGGCTTCTCCTGGGCCCAAAGTCTCTGCTTCAAACCCCATAAATATCATAATTTTAACTACATTTATTTTGCTCTCTGACAGCTCTGGTTACAGTACACGCAGGCTAGATTGTTTTAGTTCCCCTCACTCCCCCTGCTCTGCCCCCACAACCAGCCAATTCCTTGTGTGAAGGAAAATTTGCTTTCTTTTCTTTTCTTTTCTTTTCTTTTCTTTTCTTTTCTTTTCTTTTCTTTTCTTTTCTTTTCTTTTCTTTTCTTTTCTTTTCTTTTCTTTTCTTTTCTTTTCTTTCTTTTCTTTTCTTTTCTTTTCTTTTCTTTTCTTTTCTTTTCTTTTCTTTTCTTTTCTTTTCTTTTCTTTTCTTTTCTTTTCTTTCTTTTCCCCTGAAGTGTCCATTACATTTTTAGCTAAACTGAAAGGCAATTTTTTGCATGAGAGCTTTGCATAGATAGGCTTAAAGCAGAACAAAAATTAATAAATAACTATACTAAATTACCTCCCCCTCCCCCACCTTGTCTTAATGAAGTGCTGTTTTACATAAGCTATTTCAATAGAAAGGAATTCTTTTTGGGCAGGTAAATGATCAGCAATATTTAGCTTTCCAAGAGTGTTGCAGCTCCCTGCAACTTTTCTGGGTCAGGCAAGGAGGCAAAGTTTTTACAGGTAAAGATTGAGGGCACAAAAACTGTTCACTTGCCTCTGGTAATTTCTTCAGGACGTGTGTTGAAGCAGTATTGTCCATCAGTGGTTTGTGTGGCAGTGTGATGGCATTGGCAGAAAAATCACTCTGATTTCCTGTGCTGGCACTCCTGCCTCAAGAAGAAACATGCAGCTTCCAGAAATCTGTGAGGGTAGACTTAATTTCCAGGAAACTTCTCCTCCCCCGAGCTGAACTGCCCTTCAGTGCTGCACTCAGGCTTGGCCTCCACAAGGTGCTGCTCCACAGCTCACTCTGGTAGGCGAGCTGGTGCTGAGAGGAGGATGGGGCTACATCTCAGAGGAAAGATATTCTGATGACATTTTTGTTGTTACTATTATTTAAAACAGCTTATTTTAATCTCAGTTAATGTCATGGGAAGTCTGCATGAGCAGAAAACAAATCCTCTGGTGATGTGATGTTTGCTGAATTGATTTTTTTTTTTGGCAGACTTCTTTTTACACTAGACACCAATCCACGTTTTCTTAGTTTGGGGCTTCTTTTGCATCTTTTGAATCCTATTTGCCATTTTGCAACTGAATTGATGGTTCTCAACCTTTTCCATCCTGCAGTCTCCCCTTCTCCAAATCAAAACTCACCATTTTCCCGAGCTGGGAACAAGCCAGGTTACCAGGAGAACCTGGTGAGAGCAAGGAGGTCGTGATCTCTGCATGCCCATTCCACCTCCACTGGCTCCAACTCAGAGGATAAGGAACTCTTATCTGAGTATTGGCCAAGGTAGCGTCCCTGCTTCTCCTCTACCCGCCACATCATGTGCATCAAGCACATTGCTACCCTGGAAGGGGATGACTGATGCAGTGTTAGTCAAACTTACAGGAAGACTTTTTAAATTAAGGATTTGCAGTGAGGTCAAGGGGCCTGTTAAAGTGCTGAGGTATTTACCCTCCCCAGACCTTCCCTTCCTTCCTGCCCTGCTTTGTCCCTTCCTCTCTCCCCAGCCTTGAAATGAAACAGAAAATTATTTTTTTAAAACTGTGTCAATAATTTATGTTTAGTATAAAGGATGATTTAATGGCATCACCAAAGGTCATTTTTTTCATCTCCTTGTTACTGCCCCAGCCCCAGAGGCTGTGCATCCCCTCTTTCCCATCTCTCTCTGCTGCCCTCCCTTTCATTCACCTCACACACCCCCTGCCACCACCCCACCACAGTGTTCCACACACCACACACCTGCTTCAGGTTCAGCCAACGACCGTTGGAGAACAGAGATTTCAAACCCAAACCTCCACTCCAGACCACCACAGACTGGAACCATTTCCACCTTGA